TGGTACAAGGGGAGTCGGTACTACTATAATAAGTAGTATCGATACTAAGACTAGTATTGGTACCAAATGAGTATACTAGAATTTGACAATTTCAAAAACAAAAGGGTTGTATCGATACTATCATGTGGGGTATCGATACTACTATGAAAAGTAATATCAGTACTGAAATAGTATCGGTACCAAAATAGCATTATGTTTTGTCAGACCTATAGACAGTATCGGTACTGCAACTGTATCGATACTACTGTGTAATTTTGGGCTTCAGCATTGTTAGTTGTATCGATACATCATGAACAATATCGATATTGCTCTTGTAGTATCAGTACTACTATACTTAATGATACATCATTAATAGGTTTATAAGAAGTTCTTTTGTGTTTGCCTTTAGCACATGTTCACAAATTTTACCAAGATCAGTTTTTATCTTAGGCAAGGCTCTTATTAGATTGCTTTGAACATGTTTTTGTAAAACACTTATGCTAGCATGTCCAAGTTTCCTATTCCACAACCAACAATCATGCTCATCTTTAACAATCAAACATACATTAGAAATGTCAACATTATCTAGATGCACCATATAAATATTTCCTATCCTATGACCAACGAACATAATCATATTAGATGCAATGTCAACAATTTTACAACCATTAGACTCAAAATAAGACATTATATCCCTTATAACATAATTGACTAATACTAAAAAGATTATGCTTTAACTCATTCACATATAAAACATTTTCAATAAGAATGGAAGAGTTGTTACTAATAGAATCAATTCCTTCAATATGACCTTTTGAGTTGTCACCAAAGGTTACTACTCCTTCACTTTTAACTTTAAGCTCCAATAACAGACTCTTATCACTTGTTACGTGTCTTGAGCATCCATTATCAAGGTACCATGAGTTTGAACTTTTGTATTGTGCCTTGTAGAAATGCTCTTCCACTTACAACATAGATCAAGCTTTGATTTTTGGTACCTAAATTCTTTTGGTCCATAGGCATTAGTTCCCAACAATCTAGTCTCCTTAGGTATATACTTTTCTAGGATATCATTGTCCTTAGTAGTAATGAGTCCTTTGGGGACCTATATACTTCTGAAAACTTTCTCATTTGAGGTTCTTTGCGGACCTCTATGATTGTCTGGTCTAAAGCTATTTCTAACATAGTTGGATTTAGAAGTTTGTCCTTTTTCAAAATGATTTGTTCCAACTTTGTTAAAAGAAGCCCTATGATCATCAAGTTTCTTTTGATAATCATCATGAACCTTTGAAAGTAGGTTGTACAAGTCTTAATTTTTCTTTTCAAACTCATCAAGTTTGACTTGCATATCCTTGACCCTATTTTCAAGTTCATTGTTGGTCTTGGATAAGAGATCATTTTCATTTTTCAATTTTGAAATATTTTTCTTATGTTTTGAAAACATGATCTCAATTTCCGAGGCCAAGTTATCATAAGTCTCTTGCAGCTCATCAAAAGAATATTCACTTAATGTGGATGAGTCAGAGGTTACCTTAGTTTCTCTCTCAATGGCAATGAGACACAAGTTGGCTACCTCTTCATCCTCTTCATTGGATTACTTATCATCACTCCATGTAGCTACATGTGCCATGTGTTTCTTCTTAGATGATTCATTCTTCTTCAATTGTGAGCATTCAAATTTGACATGCCCAGGCTTTTTTGAACTCATAGCAAATTAGTGTTAGAACAAGATGATATTCTCCCATATTCATTTGGGCCAAGTGCACAAACTAGGATGTGCATTGCCTTTGCATTGAGTTGGAACAATTTCTTTTCTTCTTCACTTCACTTCTTCATTTCTCTAGTTGGAGTAGAGTGACATTTCATCATAATGCTCAATGCTCCCAAATCATTTGCTTGAATAAAGAGTTTCATCATATTCTTCTAATAGGCATAGTTAGCTCTATTGAAGTATGGAGGCTTGTTCATGGGTTGAGAATTATTAACAATGTCAAAACTTAATGTAGAGGCAATTAATGACTTGAATGATGATTGAACTCGTCTAAGATCTTCTCAAAAGGTGGTTAAACCTTCCAATGAGTCTAGCTCTGATACCAATTATTGAGTCAATCAAATAGATGAAATAGTCAAGAGGGGTGAATTGGTAAATAAAAATTGAACACAAGAATTTAGAGTGGTTCGACTTTATAAGCCAAAGTCTACATCCACTACCTTAGCTATCCACCCTAAGGATTTTCACAAATTCCCTAATTTGTAACTACCTTTGAGGATAAGGTAACCTTACAACTCCCTCAAGAATTATACACCAAATTCTTTAGACACTCTCTCAAAGAGAAAATTACAATTTGCAAACTTATAAAAATCTCACTAGGAATGTGTTTGCACAGTTCAAGAACAAATAAGAATGCTTGAGAAATAAATACAAATGAGTACAAAAGTGTTCTTTTAAATAAAAAGGAATGTTAAAGAATGTTGACTTGATTTTGGCTCAAATTTGTTGCTTTTTGGCTTTTGTTTTGATCTCTTATCTTCACATATGACTTTAAATCTTGTTTTTATATTCCTTCTATTATTTATAATTGTTTGGGTTATTGTGGGAGTGAATAGAGTCATTGGGAGGCAGTTTCCCGCAATAAATATTATCCTGAAGCTTGTAGTATCGATACTCAAACTTTGAGTATCGATACTCCCTGTATTAAATACAAAATATAGTCATTGGGGAAATGTATTATTGATACTGGTACAAGGGGTATCAGTACTACTATAATAAGTAGTATCGATACTAAGACTAGTACCGATACCAAATGAGTATACAAGAATTTGACAATTTCAAAAACAAAATGGTAGTATCGGTACTACCATGTATGAAAAGTAGTATCGGTATTAAAATAGTGTCAGTACCAAAATAACATTATGTTTTGTCAAACCTATAGACAATATCGGTATTACTGTGTAATTTTGGGCTTCAACATCGATAGTTGTATCGATACTTCATGAACAATATTGATATTGTTCCTGTAGTATCGATACTACTATACTTAAAAAGGATTTTTAACTTGATTGAATTTCGAATTCCTTAGTAAAAATTATTTCAAATAGATTTCTAGTATAAGACTCAATTTTTCAATAGAGTGGGGAGTTAAAAAAATAGAGTTTTTAACCTTAAAAATAATTTATATATTTGATTGACCGAATCGAATATAATCTTAAAATTTGTTAAAATTATTTAACATTTTTGGTATATCAAAATATTAAAGTGTGTTCAACAGGGGACATTTTGCTCCAAAATGAAACCTTAAGGGATAAAATGCTCCATAAAAAAGGATAAGGGCAAAGTGATTGTGTGTGCAAATGTTAGAGAATTATTTTTTTCATTATACATTTTATATTTGTAGGGCACCTTTGCAGTAAGTGTATTTAAAATGATTATGAATGATTTTGTTTTGATTTGGTACTAGAGGCTATAATAGTTTGGTAAAGTCGAAAATATTTAACACTATTGAATATTTCATCTCCTTTGGCTTATCACTTACTTGACTAGACTGAAATAATTGGATTGGTTTGCCTGTTGATTGATTCCTACCACCTTGTAAATTGTGACGTTGGTTTGATTGGACTAAATTATTGTAAATTTTTATCTAAGTAGTTACTCGTGGTTAAATTATGTTGGTAGCATTTTGACTTTCAAAGCTAAAAAGTTGTTTGTAATTTAATAGCATTAATAACATTTATATCTTTTGTGATAAATAGAAACTCGATGAAGAAATTTTTAGTAACAACGTTGGGATTTTAGGTTCTACACTTGTAAAGCTTTTACTATAAGATCCAAGAAGTTAATTTTTTACATAAATTTATTTAGTTGATTCAATTGTAATTTTAATTTATTAAATTGTAATAAATTTGATTTGTAAAATTTATAAATTATGTAAGTTTCGATATTTATAAATTTAATAAAATTTTCCATCACAAGTAAAATCATGTCTAAATTGATTTATTAATTATAATAATGATTTAAACTTATTTATATTTTAAAACTATTTTATATAATTTAATTTATAGTCTAATAAAATTAATATAAATAAAAGAATTAATAGTTTAAAGTAATTATTATTAATAGTTTTAACAATACAAATAATTAATTGATTATAATTATTTACATATATAGAAAGTAAGTTTATTAATCTAATGATCATTATTAAACTTACTAATTTAATTATCATATCTAATAATCTGCCTTAATGATGAAAAATTATTTATTAATATATTTTTATCACTTACAAACTATTGATTTAATTAAACTTTGAACTATATTTATAAATTACAATTATATATATATATATATATATATATATATATATATAATAAACTTATTAATCTAATTATTATAATTAATCTAATTATTATAATTAATCGTGCACTTTAAATAGTTAAATAAATATCAAATTTGATCAATATCATATATTGAATTATTTCAAGTTGAGATCGTTTCAAATCGAGTTATATAAGTTATTTACTAAGTTAATCTCGTGCTCGTGTTCATATCAAGTCAAATACAAGTCAGGTTCAATTATCACATTATCGAATTCAATTCAGATTCATGTCATTTTAAGATCGGATGCAGATCGAGTTAAGATTTGAAATAATCAAATCCAATTCGAGTTCAAGTCAATACCATTTCGAATTCGAATCAACTTCAGGTGGTAAGTCAAACAATTCTGACTCAAGTCGGGTTTCTATTAGTTTTTCAGGTCGCGGATAAGTTTCTTACATACTGACAACACAGTAAGTCGGTAATACAATTAATTTAAGCATTAATTTTATATCATGTCATGATTTTATTAAGCTATTTTCTATTAAAGTGATCATCTCTTACTCTTCATTTCATATCCTATGAGAACCCTTCAAAGTTCAAACATACAAAAAAAATCATAAAAAAAATTACTCATATCAGACATGTTACACCTAATGCAAAACCTGAGTTTCTGAGTAAAATGGATCACAAAGCAACACTCTCTTTCCAATGAATCAAATTCATTCATATATATAAAAAAAACAAATTCATATGTTTATTGGAGGGGCAATCAAGTCTAAACTGTTAAAAGCGCATGCTAGTATGATAAGATTCGTATTCGAACACACACCGGGAGTTTACTTCCACTTCCTGCCAAAGAACTTGCCCTTATGTCTGCCAAACATGCCATGCTTCCAGCGCTTCCCAAATTTCCCATGCTTAAATTTCCCATGTTTGAATTTTCCATGACCATGGCCGTAGAAACCCCCGTGTGCAAGATGATGAGCTCCATGTGACAAATGGTGAGCCCCGTAAACAGCAGCCGCTGCCGCAGCACCTCCGGCTAGTAATCCTCCCACACCATGTCCATGTGAACTGTGCCCTGTAAATTTCACAATTCAGGTTAAGTCATGGTATATTGATGCAAATGAAACTACAATGTATGTATGTAAATTAGTGAACCTCATTCAAGAAAACTGAGACTTTTTTAGTATCAAAGAAGATGAATGTATACTTCAATCCAGTCAACAATAAAAAACAACAGCAATAGTAACAACAAAGGGTGATGGAACATACCCCCATGATAACCGGCTGGTGGATATCCACCATGAGATGAATAAGGGTATCCTCCTAGAGGAGGATATCCCCCTGGTGGAGGATATCCAGCTGGTGGGTATCCCTGAGGAGGGTAGCCTTGTGGTGGATATCCATGTGGAGGGTAGCCTTGTGGTGGTGGATATCCTTGTGGAGGGTAGCCTTGCGGTGGATATCCATGTGTAGGATAATGCCCAGTAGCATAGCCAGCAAGATGAGAAAACAGCCCTTTGTCACTAGATTCGCCTTCATTACCACCTCCCATTTTTCTTCAGCTTACTATTAGCGAGTCCAGCAAACTATAGGACATTCAAGTTGGTTCAAAAAGAAACAGAACAATGTTAGCTGAAACACACTCCCAACAAATATATTGAAAAGAAAATACTACAAAAAGAAAAATTAACAAAAATAATCAAGACTTGGGTGGGTAGTTTAATAAAGTTGGTTCACAACTTAGGAGGTACATATATACATATATGAAGAAAAAAAATCAGTATTATCTTCATGTCCATATATGGAGTGCAGAAAACAGTAAAAGATCAAGAAGTTTCAGCGGCATTAAAGTTCCATAATCTACATAAGTCCCACTCATGAGACAGATGCAATCATACAAGCTTTCCAATACCATTAACAATGCATTAATGATCACAACTGTGCTACTGTGGTGATATTAGCTAAGATTGTTAATTTGATTAGATTTATACAGTAAATGAAAAAAAAGTATCAAAGCAGATCATAGTGTAAGATCAAGAACAATTCCGCAAACGAACAAAGAAATTTGACACGAAATGATAACACTACATTAACATAAGTTGATAATTTCAAAATCGCATTACTAGACTAAAAGAGAAAAGGATGGAAACTTTTTTTAACGCATTGATGGATGTCCATACGAGGGATTCAATTACTACTACTTTTACACGATTCGCCTAACCTAATTTAGCAATATAATTGCACAATCACTTACCACTCATATATTTTAGGATGAGTCAGACTTATAAAATTCAAAGGGATGCAACATATTATTAATAAAAAAATAAAAAAATATATCTAAAATATACGATAATTTAAAATTTTCAGGCCGACCTCTCCGCCTATATACTTGATACATCGTTGTTCCCACTAATTTTACAGAATTCGCCTAACCTAATTTACCAATATGAGGGTAAAAGGTTCTTATACACGATAAATAATGAAATATTTTAAAATTCGAAACGATCTGTACAATTAACAAAACTTGAAAATAGAGTACTAACAATAGAAAAAAAATCAAGTGATTAAACCCCACATGCACAATAATTAAAAGGAAACAAACCCAAAGATAATACAGGATCAAAGATTTCATTAATTAAAGTCGAAAAATATCGAAGCGATGGATTAAACAAACGCGATAAACAAGCTTATATGAAGGAATCAAGAATTTTGGATCAAAGGAGAGATGAAATTCTTGAACACGAAAGAAAAGACGTGAGAGAGAAATTACCTTGCTGTAGCAGATTCTTCACCAAGAGATTTTATTGAGCGGAGATGTTTGAGGATGAACTTCCAATAAAAAATTTTAACTACTATTTATAGGAAATGAAAAGAAAGAAAGATGTGATTAAAGGATAAACTATAGATTTAGTATCTAAATTATTATTTTTATTCCGTTTTCATACTGAAATTTTATTTTTTTAATCATATCTAACGTTTTGTTTAAATTTTATTTTGGTATCCACCGTTAAAAAATTAATAAAATTGATAACGTGATATTTTTCAGTAATTAGGTGTCATTATCTTATGGTGAAACTTAAACATCACCATTAAGCTTTTAATGACAAGATACTAAAATGAAACTTAAACTAAAAATTAAGCATGATTTAAAAAATAAAGTTTAAGTACTAAAACAAAACAAAAATAATAATTTAAGTGCTAAATGTATAGTTTACCCTAATTTAAATTGGTTTTGTTGGTGGTGACGTGTTTTTGGCTCTGCGTTTCTTCAACGAGACTGCTTTTATGTGAACAACATAAATAAAAAAAGAGAAAATAACCTCAGTGACCGAAAATGTCTTATAATATACGATTTTGACCAATTTTTTTTCGATTTGCCAAAATGACCAACAAAATCGTAATGCGATCTCTAAATCGCAACGCGATCTCCAGTATCGCAAATCCGTTTCCAGATTCGCAAAGCGATTTTGACTATCGCAATGCGAATATGTAAATCGCAACGCGATTCTGACTATCGCAATGTGATTTTCAAAGCGTCATTAGTATCGCAATGCGTATTTTATTTTCAAATTCCAAACACGAATATTAATATATCCCGTAATCGCAACTCATAACCTAAAACCCTAAATCACAACTCAGTCCCATCTCCATCTCTCACTCTCTAAAGCGACATTCGTCCCCATCTCTGACGAAATCCATCCCCATCTCCGGCGAAATCCATCTATCTCCATCTCTCAGAGCCACCCTCACAATCATTCACGGTCAGAAATGGAAAATCAACCAAATCAACCACCGAGGGTTAGTTTTTTTAATTATTTTTATTTTGAAATTTTTGCATTATTATTAGGTTTTTCATATTGAAATTGATGATAAGTTTACTGGTAATTTCAATAATAGATTAACCATTTCACTTAGATTGCTTATTAAATTCATTCGATTGCTGCAATACTGCTAAACTGTTTAGTCTTTAACCCTGTGAAGTTAGTATTTGTCTTTGTTTTGTCTTTTGGTTGAAGTAATGCAATTCATTCAAGTTTCAATTTTAGACAATGACTATTTGAAACCGAGAATCACAACGTGAAATGAAAATCGCAACGACAAAATCGCAACGCGATTTTAGTTTCGCGTTGCGATTTTCTCGTTGCGATAGTCAAATTCGCGTTACGATAGTCATTTTCGTGTTGCGAATTTCATTTTCGTGTTGCGATTTTAAGTTTCATAAACTATTCTTCTTCTGCAAATTGAAACTTGAATGAATTGCATTACTCCAACCAAAAAACAAAGACAAATACGAAATTCACAGTGTTGCAAATTTAAGTTTGAAGAATAAACTACTACTACTCTTTATGTTTACTATTGTTTTTGGTTTATCTTCACAGTGTAGTTTTTGATATATCTAACTTGGTATGTTTATTGTTTTTGTAGAACTTTTTTTCGGCTCAATTGACCTTAAGGAATAAAATAAGCTTAGTCACTACAATTGCGTCGAAGCTTTCACCTGTACAAAGAAAATTGTTTGAGGATACTTGCTTCGGGCCATGGCTGAAAGTACAACATCCGGGTGGAGATGCTATGTTGACCCATTTGTGGCTTCAGTCCATGACTAGCGATCTACCCGAGAGTATAAAACGTGGTAATGAAGAGATATGGTTTCATTTTCCACCGGCGTATACGTGTTTTGGGCGGGAGGAGTTTTGCTTAATCACTGGTCTACGCTTCGGACACGATGATGTAGGTCGATACACTAGTCATATTACCCGCCCATCATGGTTATCCTGGGTTTTTCATGAGCTGTCAATGGAGAAGCCGAATTTAAATGTCGACGACTTGACGAGATTATTTAATAAGAAAGATGGTTTTACTCGGATGGATGACGTCGATGTTGTCCGAGTATGCCTTTTAGTACTTTTGCATGCCGGCTTTTTAGGCAGAGAGGCCAGACAACCTATTCCTAAGGACCTAGTATTATTGGTAGAGGACCTAAATGCATGGAACTTGTTTCCGTGGGGTTCGTATATATGGAAAGCTACCTGGAATAAGTTGTCGTCTGCCTTTGATGACCGAAAAAGTTTGTGTGGCGATGGTTCCAAATACATTTTGTCAGGCTTTATTTGGGCCTTTAAGGTAAGAATTTCTATATAATGTTTCCAAAATTATAATTAATTATTTAACAATTACTAATATTTGTGTATTATATTGTCTATAGATTTGGATATTTGAGGCTTTTCCCGGCATGCAAACATATGCATTAAAAACTTCAAATGATATTCCTAGGGCTATTTCCTGGAAGAGGAAACGGCGGCTGTTGGATTGGGAAGAGTTACTACGGTATACAACAATAAATGATGTAAGTTAACACAAATACTACCATATATAAACAAGTTATTACTAGTACACGTTTAACTTTGTTTGAGCTTTTATATTGTTAGGAGGCCAACACTCCATTACAGAGGCTGACACCCACGGAGGCTGAGCTTGCCACTGATTGGTGGCAAGCTAGTAAGCGTTTTTTTGATGGCACGGATGATGAGCAACCTCCACTTCGAGAGCCATCACCTGATCGACCACACTATACACCTCTACAACGAGAGCCATCACTTATTCCCTCACATCATCGAGCCTCTTCTCCACCATCACCTCATGATAGGCAACCGGCAAAGATGCCACGACATTTATCTCCATGTTCTCCACCTCCACCTCCACGGGATGAGTTAGGGGAGTTACGTGATGAGGTCAATGCCTTGCATGAGGAGGTCGGTACTTTACGCGATGACAATGGTGCATGGCGTGATGAGGTATCTACTTTACGTGGTGAGGTAGCCGCTCTACGTGAGATGGTAGCATCATTACAGAATGAGGTTTATACTCTACGTAACGAGGTAAGTTTAAGATTTTTCATATTTAACTTGATTTACTCGTAATTTCACTTAGATTAACCATTTCACTTAGATTGCTTAGTAAATTCATTCGGTTGCTACCAATACTGCTAAACAGTTCTAAAATAACCCTGTGAAGTTAGTATTTATCTTTGTTTTGTCTTTTGGTTGAAATAATGCAATCCATTCAAGTTTCAATTTACAGAAGAAGAATAGTCACAACTCGAAACTTAAAATCGCAACGCGAAAATGACTATCGCAACGTGGAAATGACTATTGCAACGCGAATTTGACTATCGCAACGGGATAATCGCAATGCGAAATAAAAATCACAACGTGAAAATCGCAATGCGAAAATAAAAATCGCAATGCAAATTTAGTTTCGCGTTGCGATTTTTATTTCGCATTGCGATTATCTTGTTGCGATAGTCAAATTCACGTTGCGATAGTCATTTCTGCGTTGCGATTTTAAGTTTCATGTTGCGATTTTAAGTTTCAGAAACTGTTCTTCTTCTGTAAATTGAAACTTGAATGGATTGCATTACTTCAACCAAAAGACAAAGACAAATACTAACTTCACAGTGTTGCAAATTTAAGTTTCAAGAATAAACTACTACTCTTTATGTTGTCCTTGAACATGCACTAAACCTATATGTTGTCCTTTTAAATGTTTATATAAGTGCTTACTTCTGGAATGTTATCTGATGCATTTATGAACTATGATAGAATAATGACTTGGGTGAATGCCGTGCAAGTTTGAAACATATTTGTCTTTTTTTTCACTGTTTAATATCATGTTTGTTTATTTACTAATTTATGTATTAATTTACTTTTAGCGGCTCGATAAGGTGGATGCTTTACGTCGAGTTTTTCTTGTACGACGGGGTTTATGCATCAGACGGCGTGCACGTGCCATTACGTCTTCGTTCACCCCAATAGTGCAAAGACTCCATAAGAAGAAGCCCGACTCACCTGTCATCGTTCAAGAGGCCTCTCCTATTGTTCAAGAGGCCTCTATCATCCCTCAAGAGTCCCCTCCCACCGTTCAAGAGGCCTCTGTCATCGTTGAAGAGGTCCCTCCCACCATTCAAGAGCCCGATTCACACGGCGTAATATGTCGAATTATTGAGAAACCCTCTCACGTGTCGAACATGATGGATGAGTGTTGGCTTTTGTATGAGTTACCGACCAGTACCATTCCGGCAGATGAAGTGGATAGGAGAAAACTACCGGAAACAATTTTGGATAATACCCTTTGGGCTAAAACCGCATTTGATTTTTATCTACATGAGCGGAGCCAGGGGTGTTACACTGATATATACAAACTCAACGATGATATGCATTTGTTGCTTGATCGGTCTTTGTGGGGTGTGTTATTAGGGGTTGAAGACAATGGCTATTTCGATGGGGGGTAAGTCTTATATTTTTCTTATATTTCATTTTGATTAATTTTTTTTTAAATTTATGTAATTCACTAATATATGTCTTTTTTTTTTGTAAAACAGCATATTGATGCATGGGTGTCACGTCTTCTAATAATAAGGAAAATAAGGAAAAAAAAAATAAGCGATATACAATTATGCCGACGTCTTTTCACGTAGTTCACTTGAAGAATCAACGAGATGAATCATATGTGTTGGGTAATGGACAAGCTAAACTTTATCCTGCATGGTGGGAGGTCGATAAGGTTAGTATTTATTTTTTAAATATTTTAAAGGTGTTCATAAATAAGTGCGTAATTGAATTATTACTTATGATTGCAGGTGTTTATCCCTGTTTTGGAACATAATCATTGGTTTCTCGTCGAGCTTCAACTCCCATCCCTGAAGACAATAGTATATGACAGCATGATAAATTACATATCATTGTATGATTTGAGAAATTCTTGGATGTGATTAATTATTGGACATATTCTGGAAACAA